GCAGGTAGGTAGGAGAGTAGACGAGGCGTGACTCCTGTTAGCAGGATGAAAGCCTTCCCTTTCCATTGATCATAATAAGCCTAATCCTGCCAGTTTTCCCTGGAACACGATCCGCCCGTCGGTTAACAACCAGATCCCCAGTTACTGCTGGGTGGACAGGGGCTTGAACAGTTAAGGACTGGCGCTCAGGAAAGGCATGTTGTGAATACGTTTGTGCATCAGTATGGTAATGAGCAGAGGGCGCAGTGCATCGCCCTGAGGTGTTCCTAATTCAGATACACTCACTCCTCTCTTCCTCACACTCACTCACTCACTCCCCGCTTCCTCACACTCACTCACTCCCCGCTTCCTCACACTCACTCACTCCCCGCTTCCTTATACATTTACTCACCATAACTTGACTTTCTTACCGCCCTCAACTTCACTCTGTTCAACAGTCTGTCGTTCGTTCGATATTATGTTGAACCCAGTTCTGACTATATTTGTTTGATGCTTCGCCCAGATGGATTAATTTGACCACTTAAATGGTTAACGTTCTAGAGCAGGATGCGAGTGTGGGTGTTCGTGGTGATGGCCGCAGCAGCACTGAGTGGGGTCGCGGCCAGGGAGAGGAAGAAGAGATATATTTTCGTCAACAGACACGCGCCAATCACGTTGGGTGAGTCCACTATCACGATGGGTGAGTCCGTTGTCATGATGGGTGAGTCCACTGTCATGGTAAGTAAGTCCACTGTCATGGTGGGTGAGTCCACTGTCATGGTGGGTGAGTCCACTGTTACGGCGGGTGAGTCCACTGTCATGGTAGGTGGGTCCGTTGTCATGGTGGGTTAGTCCACTGTCATGGTGGGTGGGTCCACTGTCATGGTGGGTGAGTCCACTGTCACGGTAGGTGGGTCCTCTGCCTATCCTATGAGTCGAGGCCCTTTTCATTCCAACTAAAGATTGTATTTCTGGCTATCTTTGATAAGTGTAACAGTCTGCTTCATCTCCCTACGTCAGAATTGTTTTGTTTCCCGAATGTGTCACAGTTGCTTCACTGCTCTCAAAGAATCCGAAGCAAAATGTTATATCTTGACACAGCTCCTTCTCATCCAACCCGTCCTCAGACCAAGTCCATTCCATGCAGCGGTCGACCCCAAAGACGCATTCATAAATTTTAACATGCTGTTCATTCAAATCAGGAATTTTCTCAAATATAAATTAATATTATAATATATTAGCAACATATTTTCGTAGCTATACCGCTTTATTTGTATTTTATTTTTGATTTGTAAATGTTATTGTTACTGTTGCAGACCTGTATGTGTACATGCCCATCTCCGTGGCCCTGCCCTCCCTCTTACCAGTCGGTGGACGGTCGTTCAGCTCCAACAACCTGATGGAACACGACCTACCGGAAGGCCTTGTGTGGGATCCTGCCTACCAGCTCTCTCTCTCTCGTCTCTCCTCTTACTTTATCCATCTCCAGGTAATGATTGCAGTCAGTTGTGAGGTAATTATTGGAGCTGTGAGGTAATTATTGGAGCAGTGAGGTAATTATTGGAGCTGTGAGGTAATTATTGCAGCAGTGAGGTGATTATTGCAGAAGTGCGGTAATTATTGATAGCAGTTAGATAATCATTACTGCAGTGAGATAATTGTTGCAGCGGCGAGGTAATTATTGCATCAGTGACGTAATTATTGAAACAGTAATGTAATTATTGGAGCAGTGAGGTAATTATTGCATCAGTGACGTAATTATTGAAACAGTAATGTAATCATTGTAGCAGTGAGGTAATTATTGCAGCAGTGAGATAATTATTACAAGTGATGCAATTATTGCATTATAAACGCAATTACTGTAGCAATGATGCAATTATTGCGGCAATGAGGTTCATTATGATCTTCTAGTGGTAGTGGCTGTCAGGCTGCTTTTAAAGATGATGATTTGGCTAACGAGTTTGGTGTAGGTTGCTAAGAACATAAGAATTAAGGAACCTGCAGAAGACGTATTGGGTCATAAGAGGCCAATAGGCCTTTAGTGCGCGTTGATGGGTGTCTTGGAAGCATACAAAGTCGGGGCAAGAATGGTATGGGGAGATTTTGTTTCCCCTGCAAATAGTTCAGGAACGGAATATCTGCACATTATTATATCAGCTCTAGATTGGCCTAAGAACGGGACAGGTAGAGTGGCTTCTTTCCCCTCATGCAGGCAGTTTTAACATAGACGGCTCAGAACAGGTGACAGGACTTGACATTTATTTATCATTCACTGTCATCATTTTTACAGGAGACATTTTCTAAACACAGTTCGTGCTTTTCTAATATATCTGTCAACAAATTATATTCTGACAAATATATTGCATTGAGTAAGTGCTAATTCACTCTAATATGTATTAGATATCCAATAAGCGATCAATAAAAATATAATATAATAATGCAATATAATAATAAATAGTTTTGGAGAATGAGGTTAACAAGAGTAAATATTTATTTTGTATTGTTATTCAATGTGTGTTGGTCTTTGTTTTGTATTGATCATTCTTCAGTCACTTTGTACTGGTACTCATTAAGTATGATTTATCGTGCACAGTTGCCAACCTTGCCGTGTCAGGAGAGACTTATATGTGAAGTGACTGCTGACCCTGAGACTTACTCCCCCATCAGTAACATGTTCCTCAAGGAGCTCAGGTAACATAAGTTGATCATTAATATTTATTGTAGATTTGTATATTATATATATATATATATATATATATATATATATATATATATATATATATATATATATATATATATATATATATATATATATATATATATATATATATATATATATAATGTTATGCAAATCATACTGAAAAGCTGTTTACTTGAGCACTTTCAATGATAAATCTAAAGTGTTTAACGTTAATGAACAATATGTAGTCTTAGACCAGAGTTCATCAATAACTTAGTATCCACATACGAAACCTGTACATCTTTTCTTAATAATAATGGGCTTAGTTTGTATTTATTAAACAGTTTGAGAGTTCTAAATCACGCAACCACTCGCGCAATCTGTACGTCTTTCGTCAATTATGGCGGCTTTGTTTACATTTTGTTAAACTATTTATAAGCTCCGAAGCACTACAAGCCTATCTATAGTACTAACAATCTTCGATTGTGAAGTTTCGTAGCTCGTAAATTGTTTAATGAATGCAAATAAAGCCTACAGTTTTGAAAGATGTACAGGTTTCGTAAGTTTTGCGTAAATGCGTTAATAAATCCTATCCAGGGTTATTTCTATTATGGAGGACCTCGTAGCGCTTCAGAGCTCGTAGAACATATATCAAGTACAAATTAATCTATAGTGATCGTAATAAGTAGCACAGATGTAGTAAGTGAACACGTAAAACCTTGATGAATACTGGTCCAGGTCTTCAAGCCCTTATTTTGCTTATTAACATCAAACACGTTACATTTAGTATTGTAATTTAAGACATATTACAAAAAGTATCCCTTAAACAACCAGAGATGTTAAATCCATTATTTACCACAAAATGACTATATAATCCCACATTATTCATTTAAATACTCTGTATCTTCACAGGCTAATATACGGGCCAATAAAATCCTCTAATGTCTCGCTGATGTGGCGGTACGTGTCGGCCGCCCGCCATGGCTTCTACGCCCCGACTGAGCGCTGCGCCGCCGCCTTCCCGACCTGCCCCCTGGCGGCCGACCGCATCATCAACATGCCGCTGCTTAAGCTGTGGCAGGTCGCCTCATCAGTCCTCAATTTACAGATGTAATATCAAAACAAACCGAAAAATAGATATGGAACGACAACAACTTTTCAAGACGCATACTTTAGGGAAATATATATACGCCGAGAGGTGTAGGTATACCTTGTTTCTTGGGGCATATACACTGAGAGCTTGTCACAGGCTTCTGAGGGTATATACACTGAAAGGTGTACCGGGTTTCTTAGGGTATATACACTGAGAGGTTTATCTGGCTTCTTGGGACATATACACTGAGAGGTGTATCTTGCTGCTTAGGGGATATACTGAGAGAGATATATACCCTGCTTCTCGGTGTATATACACTAAGAAGTGTAGCTTGCTTCTCTGTGTATGAAAAAAATCATCTGAAAGTTGATTTTTTTCCAGAACTGTGTTCAGGATTAAAGTATATTGGTCAGTGAGCTCATGTCATGGGCTTTAAACTTCCCGCGGGTGATAAGCTCTAAGTTACATATGACTAATTTACATGTAAGTTACATATGACTATAATTTACATCTAAGTTACATATGACTGTAATTTACAAATAAGAACTTTTTTATACCAGATATTTAAGGCTTTTATTATCACACTTACATAATGTTTGAATTATTACCAATAGTGCCATTAAGATGCATCATTGCCAGTTTAGATCCAATTTCTTATTTTGTTACATTTCGAATCTGGCGGACGGTTATGTAACCACCAATAGTAAGTCTTTATCCTTCTGACGTCATAATCCCACAATTGGTGGGATTATGACAATTCAACTCCTGGGAACAAAAGTTCCAAGTAGCACGGGCTATGGTGAGCCCGTTAAATATAAAACAGGAAGAGATAGATACTTGGGCTCGAAATTATTGGGACCAACAAAGTGATCACAGAATTTGCTAAACCATTTTTTTGGTCAAAATTTCTGAGCGATCCCGAAGATGATGGGGTCAGGTTGCCACATTATTAACTAATTCTAACTTCACCCAGAAGGCGGAAGGTAATTATGAAAGGAACAGTCAATGAAGAACTTCGTTTGTACATTTATAACTGACTTAGTTTACAACATTCATATGAATTATAAATATATATAAGAACAATAAATAAAAATAACGTAATGTTCAATATTATAATTATACATTATGTTCATTAACTAAGATAATTATACATTATGAACTACGAGAATTATTCATTATATACTATGATTATTATACATTATGAACTATGAAAATTACACATTATGAACTATGGTAATTATACATTATACACTATGAGAATTATAAGGTATACACTATAAAAACTATACATTACACACTATGAGAATTATATATTATAAGCCTTACAAAAACGGTAATGCCCAATATAATATAATATTAAATAAAAAAAAGATACAAAAACGATACTAAATTTAACAATTGTAACATTATTAACTAATTCTAAGACAAGAGTCATGTATATATTAACTTAAGATCATAATACTTGTATAGCGAGACATATTATGAAACTTTACTGTATCTTGATTTCAGAGATATCCAGGCTTAGCAAAAATACTATTTCAGGCATAAATAAGAAATAATCACTAACAACTTGAGTGACAAGTCAAGAAATACTCTTAGCCATACTTGGTAATCAAGCCATACTCTTAAGAGATAATCTACAAGATTACCTCATTGCTCTTTTAATTCCTTATCTGAAGCTGTGAGTCTCCACAATTGCACCAAATTAATATTATATCCACAAATTTGAATGATGAGACTTTCGTTGAAAAAAATATAATATAAATTGAAAGAAATTTAATTTAACAATGTATGGAATTTATAGAGAACATTTTCCCAAAAGCAACATAATTGTATGATATTATGCCATTCGAAAATATAGGTTTAGATCAGTAGATGTCGAAGATAGGCTGCATGGCACTCTCTGTGAACTCACACCTGGTGAAAGATGAGGGGCGATCACCTCACGTAATACTGTCTCTGTTGAGGTAAATGTCCACCTCCAATCTGTGTTGAAGACCGTAACTTAAGACGTCAGTGTCTCTGTCTTTAGAAAGTGTTCATAGATATTAGTTTTACCCGAGAGCCGCCATCTCTCTCTCTTGTGGACTCGACGAGGACAGGAAGCCGGCGGCTGTCGACTGTCCCTCATTTGTCCTGATGATTTTATTGGGTTCGATCTTCAATTGCAGCATTGTTTTGGTATTTATGGCTTCGTCGAGTAGGCGGCTTCTGGATATATAACCGTATGGGTGATATGGCATCTCCTGTTTTCAATCCTTCGCTGTGTCTTGATGAGTTTGAAACTGTTGCTCCTTGTTTGTGTCACATTTGACCTTTTGAAGAAGTTGTCCAGGTCGATATCCTCCAAATTGTTCACAATTTTAAAAGTTTCGATGAGATCAGCCGCGTCATGTCTGGTTTGCAGTGTTGTTAGCCCTGTGGCCCTCAACCGTTCCTGGTACGAGAGTTGACTTTGTTCCAGAAGGATTTTTGTTGCCCGGTGTTGCACTTTCTCCAAAGCAGATATCTTTCTGAAGATGAAGTCACCACGCTTGCATACAATAATCCCAGTGAGGGCACACCAGGGACTTTTATAGCTGAATAATTACCTTTATTTCCTTAAAAGTCTAAGTTTCTTTTGACTCTTAGGATTTGGCCAGCTTTTTTGTACTGCAGTTCCCACTTGGTGTGCAACTTTCAGTGATTGGTGGATTCTGATGACGAGATCTATTTCTTCATCAATCTGCTGTAAGGTAACGTTGTTGATGTGGTAGCGGTGATGCACATTGTCATGCCCCGCACGTAAAACACTTCATTTCCACAATGTTGAAAAGCATTTACCATTCTTCCAACCACTTTTGGATATACAGTAAGTCTCGCCTGTATCTGCTGGCTTTTAATTGAATCTGAATATTAATGTATAAGTAATAATAACTATTTTGTATTTGATGTATTAACTTTAGTATTTTATAAAAGCAGTATTGACTAGCAAAATCACAAATTCATAATTAATTTCTTCAGTTTGTATTGCTTTCAGGTTCACTTGTATATTCTATACCTGCTTTAATTTGCTTCACTAACAGGTTATTTAAGCCTTAAATTCAGTTTTGACGCTAAGAACTGCCACACCTTAAGAACAGACGTGTCCAGGATGCTGTGGGCGGACAGAGGACAGGTGGGGTAGGCGACGGCGCACCGCTCAATGGGCTCCGTGAAGCCCTCGCGCGCAGCTGTCAAGTACCGCCACATGAGGGAGTCCTCCGTTCTTTCCACAGGCCCGTGTTCGAGCCTGCAATAATGTATCTCTTAATATGCATAGTAAAATCACAAGGTAATGTGTCTATGAGATAATATTGAAGCAATAGGATGGAATTGAACCCTCGGTCCCTGGATTCCCCCAGGTCCAGACAGGTGCTTCTACATAGGTCCAGACCTGCCAGTTCAATCCCATTCCTTGCCCTCAGTTTATCTTATTTGAATATTATCATTGTGTTACGGACTCTAGCTCCCAAGCCCTTACTCTGGCCTGGCGATCTAATGAGCGGCTGTTCTGAAGTGGTTTTTGCGTAATTATAAGTATAGAACCTAAATAAATAACACTCCAATCTTGCGAATGAATTGAGTTACATTTCTTCCACGAATGCATCCATATTTATACGTTACTACAGGACGAGGTCTCATCTGGCATATATATACGGATCCGCTTATGAAACCTGTACATCTTTCAACAATTATTGCGGCTTTGCTTATATGTATTAAACAGTTTATAAGCCTCAAAACTTCACAACCGAAGGTTATTATTGTTGTGAACAACCTCATAGTGCCTCGGAGTTCATAAACTGTTCATTAAGTTTAAAGAAAGCCGTCATGAATGATGAAAGATGTACAGGTTTCGTAAGTGACTAGGTAAATGTTTGTTGAATAATGGCTGTGATGGGAGAGAAGCCTTGAGTGTTACCTGAGCTCCTTGGTGAAGATCTGAGTGATGGGGGAGAAGCCGTCAGGGTCGGCAGTAATCTCACATATAAGACGCTCCTGGCACGCCATCGTCGTCAGCTGACCATTGTAAACAACGAAAGAAAACATAAGGATAGCAACCTGGGCCAATGAATCACCGAGCATTTGCGCAACCACTTAATTACGAAACCTGTACATCTTCCCTCGATCATGGCGGCTTGGTTTACGTTAATTAGAGAGTTTATGAGCTCCGAAACACTATGATCCTGTTTATAACATTAATAGCTTTGGCGTGTAAAGCTTCGAAGCTAGTAAAGTGTTTGATAAACATGGCGCCTTTGTAAACAAAGGCGCCATGAGTGTTGAAAGATGTACAGTTAAGTTTGAAATAGAGGTTGTGTTTCCGCAGATTTATTTGGTTGTTTTCTCGGCTAAACATTAATAAACATTGGAGGAGGAATAATATTCTGTGATTCACAGTCTGCTCTTCAAGCACTCGAAAACTACTCCTGGAAGATCGACAGCAAGAACCTCATACTACCAATTATAAATGACCTAATCGCTACACAGAGTAAAGGGTCTCGAATCTCCTTTGTTTAGATATCATCACACATAAATATAATCCATCATAATGAGACAGATATTGCAGTCAAATTAGCGTGTAACAGAGATGAAGTTGAATTAGATCTAGGTATCCCCATCTCTACTGTCAAAAGTATATTGGTCCAAACACTCAGGTCTGATAGGAAAGAAATTACTGACTCCCAACGACCTGAAAGCACTAATATAAAAAGCTATGATTTGTTCAGATCTGAAACCTATATCTATGGGCAGCACGAAACGTCCACTAGACTGTGCGACACAGGGGTTGCCAGGATCAAGTTGGGTTACCGTAACCTGTGGCAGGTGGCTACAAGTGACGGATCTCCCAATCCTGAGCACTCCAGGTGCAACCTCTGTGAGCAGGAACTGCGGAATGATCTCCCACACTACACCACCGAATGCCCAGTTATTAGACCTTTCAGACCAGTTGGCATGAGGTACCTGGAGCTTAGCAATTACTTTATTCACTCTCGTGTTCTTGAAGATATCCTCATAGTGCATCCAAAATTTGCCAGTGCAGGCTACTGGACATATGGCCCTGTATGACTAACCACCCTGCGAGATGGGGACTTTTAGTATCACTGTTGCCTTATTCACTCTTGTGTTCATGATATCCTCATAACGAACCCAGAGTCTGCCAGTGCATACTACTAATCACATGCCTCTGACTAACCATCCTGTGTGATGGGGATTTTTTAGCATCATGTAGCTAGGTTTTTGACTCTGTACTCCTCTTCATATAGTCTAGGGTAGCTGCACAAATGCAGATGTACCTAATGTATTAATGAAAAAAAGAGGTAACAGAAGTAACTATTTCATTGAATCTGGTGTACTGGACGATATCCTAACAATTTATCCAAAATTTACTTGTCCATTTAAGAATGAAGAACAATTTTATTTATATTATTTTTAAGCTGCATCTCTTATGAACCCATCCCTGCCCTTGTGTGGCAGTGCATAATAGAAAGTTGTATTTACATATTCGTACGCTGAAATATTGATTGTAATCATGACATATATATATGTTTCAGCCTACAGTTTAGACCTATTGTATTGTGAATGACCCTTTGTCCTGTGTGACAGTGAATGCCAGCATTATTCTCACTTTAATAAGACTTAATTAAAATCCACAGATTAAGCAAAACTGTAATTAAATGTTGTCAATAAAGATGTTAATAATAAAAAAAATATGGCGAAGCCGTCATCTGTTATGCCGATGACATACGCATCTAAACTAGATTATAACTACCCAAACTAGACTGAAAGCTTTACAGACGCGTCGTCTGCTACACCCAAAAATGGCGCCTGCGGTCCTCTCTGCCCTCTTGTCCTCAAAACCCTTTTTTTCGGGGGGGGGGGGAAGGGTCGTCACTTCTCTTCTCAGTGAGCGTGTTGGGTCAGACGCAGGAGTCCACTCTCCCTGATGCTCCTATCCACTCCTCTGACAACCAAAACCGGTTGTAGATTCCCACAGTACTCTTCGGGCCCATCCACCCTTCTTGGCTTTAGAACGCTGCTCCTGGATCACGTAATGGAGGTATACTTGCTGGCTAGTCACTAAGTTCTAAGACTATAACAATAGGAGTATACCCCAACAACAAACCAAACCTTCCACCACAACCACAATACAACCACAGGACTACTATTCAACCAGAGAACTACTATACAACTACAGGGCTACTATACAACCACTATACACTCATAATACCAATGCAATACCTCATCGATCCAATATTCACCTCAAGATGTTGAAAGTACACCAGGAGCCGCTTCAAGGAATACTCATATGCCTGGTCCCACGCTAGGTCCTCGGGAGTCTCGTCCCGGCCCTCAGCGTCCAGGGACCGCCCGTTCACCGGCGCCAGGGTGGGCAGGACCAGCGACAGAGGCACGTTCAACAGGAACGCTGGAAAAAAACGTCATTACCGTTTACACCAATGCTGCAGTAGCATTCAGCGAGGCATCGTGAACATTTTCAGTCAAGATTCAGTCAAGATTCATTGCTAAAGTCTCCAGGCGAAGGGGGACTCACTGACTGCCGTGGGTTTTCCTGGGTTGATGAAGAAGAATCTCCCGTCCCTCTCTGTTGCCGAGGTCCCACACACCACAGCCACCACCGCCACCACAGCCACCACAGCCACCACACACACACTCATCTTCCTATAGAAAAAAAAGTGTTTATATTTGTTCATTAGACGTACGTAGTATACCTTATAAGCCAATCCACACTCGAAATACAAGGAAGAGTCTAAAACCATCTCCATGTCTAAAGTATTCTCGCTACTTGGTCAGTAAGCTTTTGAGGTTATGTTATTAATCCACCAGAGCTTGATAGAACTTAAGCTGAGGCACCATACCAATTAGGTCGTAACGAGGTAATAATATCCAGGATGGACCGAAACGTAGTTACTTGATAATGGCCCAAGACGGACCGAAACGTTGTCACTTTATTTTAGATGTATTGGTTGCGTCTCTGATTTTCAACCCCGTTATTATGACACCCCCTGCAAGAGTGTCATGTTTATCTCCCCTGGTTACAATTGAGAGGGGTACCAGGTACTGGTACCAGGTAAGAGGCAGGGTACTAGGTATGAGGCAGGGTATCAGGTATGAGGCAAGGTACCATGTATGAGGCAGAGTACGAGGTATGAGATAAGGTACCAGGTATAGTATAGAATAGAGGTATGAGGCAGGATACTAGGTATAAGGTCAAAGTACCAGGTATGGTGCACAGTGCCAGGTATGCGACACGATACCAGTTATTGAGCAGGGTACAAGGTGTAAGGCAAGGGTATCAGGTATGGTGGCAGGGTAAGGTAGACGATACTAGGTATGAGAGAGGATACCAGGTATGAACAACAGTGTAAAGGGTTCGCGCTACCCATCAAGCAAGGGGGTCATTTAGACAACCAACACTTAGTATTCCGGTACGTTCATAATACCACGAGGTACGAGGGTAGCGGTACTGAGGTGTGTGATCTGTGTACCACGCCTCCACCCACCTGGCCAGGGAAAGGTGTCTCACCTGAGTCTCTCACAGGTGACTCAACCCCCTAGCGCATCTGTGCTCATTGGCTCATACTCACTGGAGTGGGAGCTCACCCAATCAACCGCTGGTTTGCAATTGATTCTTTAATAGCTAATAACTCTGCTTCAACCAGTCACTATTCTTTCGAGGGTAAACAAGAATCCTACTATCGGATACGTTCGAAAGGCTGTTTTAAAGATTTAGACGACATACCCACATTATCAACATAAACGGCCAGGAATGTGTATGTAAATGACAGGTAAATTGCGTCGTGTCAGAGCAAAGAAAGAAATATCACATACCTCAAAACACGATGCTGCTCACTACACCCAAAACAGATTTAGATAATGACAAAAAAGTATGTAAAACTCTACCTGCAAAATTCGCGTCAAAACGTTGCCAAGACAGTCACCGGGCGGAGGGAGCCAGTCCTGCGCCCTCAGCCTCATACGCGCGACTGGTGGCTCCCGCCCCACGCCTGCCCCACAAAGTTTACACTTCGGCGAATTTGCTGGCTTGTTCCGTCCTCTTAATCCGGCTTTCCACGTTATCTTCCTCTGCGTGGTGGCTTTACAAGCTGTGTTATCCCTGCCAAGGTGACTTTTCTAGCTGTCTCTCCCCGCCAAGGTGACTTTTCTAGCTGTCTCTCCCCGCCAAGGTGACTTTTCTAGCTGTCTCTCCCCGCCAAGGTGACTTTTCTAGCTGTCTCTCCCCGCCAGGGTGACTTTTCTAGCTGTCTCTCCCCGCCAAGGTGACTTTTCTAGCTGTCTCTCCCCGCCAGGGTGACTTTTCTAGCTGTCTCTCCCCGCCAAGGTGACTTTTCTAGCTGTCTCTCCCCGCCAGGGTGACTTTTCTAGCTGTCTCTCCCCGCCAGGGTGACTTTTCTAGCTGTCTCTCCCCGCCAAGGTGACTTTTCTAGCTGTCTCTCCCCGCCAAGGTGACTTTTCTAGCTGTCTCTCCCCGCCAGGGTGACTTTTCTAGCTGTCTCTCCCCGCCAAGGTGACTTTTCTAGCTGTCTCTCCCCGCCAGGGTGACTTTTCTAGCTGTCTCTCCCCGCCAAGGTGACTTTTCTAGCTGTCTCTCCCCGCCAGGGTGACTTTTCTAGCTGTCTCTCCCCGCCAGGGTGACTTTTCTAGCTGTCTCTCCCCGCCAAGGTGACTTTTCTAGCTGTCTCTCCCCGCCAAGGTGACTTTTCTAGCTGTCTCTCCCCGCCAGGGTGACTTTTCTAGCTGTCTCTCCCCGCCAGGGTGACTTTTCTAGCTGTCTCTCCCCGCCAAGGTGACTTTTCTAGCTGTCTCTCCCCGCCAGGGTGACTTTTCTAGCTGTCTCTCCCCGCCAAGGTGACTTTTCTAGCTGTCTCTCCCCGCCAGGGTGACTTTTCTAGCTGTCTCTCCCCACCAGGGTGACTTTTCTAGCTGTCTCTCCCCGCCAAGGTGACTTTTCTAGCTGTCTCTCCCCGCCAGGGTGACTTTTCTAGCTGTCTCTCCCCGCCAAGGTGACTTTTCTAGCTGTCTCTCCCCGCCAGGGTGACTTTTCTAGCTGTCTCTCCCCACAGGGTGACTTTTCTAGCTGTCTCTCCCCGCCAGGGTGACTTTTCTAGCTGTCTCTCCCCACCAGGGTGACTTTTCTAGCTGTCTCTCCCCGCCAAGGTGACTTTTCTAGCTGTCTCTCCCCGCCAGGGTGACTTTTCTAGCTGTCTCTCCCCGCCAAGGTGACTTTTCTAGCTGTCTCTCCCCGCCAGGGTGACTTTTCTAGCTGTCTCTCCCCACAGGGTGACTTTTCTAGCTGTCTCTCCCCGCCAGGGTGACTTTTCTAGCTGTCTCTCCCCACCAGGGTGACTTTTCTAGCTGTCTCTCCCCGCCAGGGTGACTTTTCTAGCTGTCTCTCCCCACCAGGGTGACTTTTCTAGCTGTCTCTCCCCGCCAGGGTGACTTTTCTAGCTGTCTCTCCCCACCAGGGTGACTTTTCTAGCTGTCTCTCCCTGCCAATGTGACAGAGAGAGACTCATTGTTATATTAAAGGAAACAATAAGTCAGTATAAATAGTCATATTATGGAAACCGTTGTTAGTGGGGTACCTCCAGGCTGTGTCCTGGGACCTCTCTTGTTTGTAAATATATATATATATATATATATATATATATATATATATATATGTCGTACCTAATAGCCAGAACGCACTTCTCAGCCTACTATTCAAGGCCCGATTTGCCTAATAAGCCAAGTTTTCATGAATTAATGTTTTTTTCGTCTACCTAACCTACCTAACCTAACCTAACCTAGCTTTTTTTGGCTACCTAACCTAACCTTACCTATAAATATAGGTTAGGTTAGGTTAGGTAGGGTTGGTTAGGTTCGGTCATATATCTACGTTAATTTTAACTCCAATAAAAAAAAATTGACCTCATACATAGAGAAAAGGGTTGCTTTATCATTTCATAATACAAAAATTATAGTAAATATATTAATTCAGGAAAACTTGGCTTATTAGGCAAATCGGGCCATGAATAGTAGGCTGAGAAGTGAGTTCTGGCTACTAGGTACGACATATATATATATATATATATATATATATATATATATATATATATATATATATATATATATATATAACTCATTTAAATTCAGGATTAAGGCAGCTCCTATTTATTTCCACCCAAAACTCATTCATTCACTACATTACCCGGTAATCTGTTCCACAATTCAACACCCCTGTTTCCAAATCAGTATTTTCCCAGGTCTTTTCTAACTCTAAACTTATCCAATTTATATCCATGTTTTAGTGATCTATTTTGTGTTGATATATTTAATACCATATTGATATCTCCCTTGTTGTAGCCATTCATCCACTTGTGGTCATGTCACCCTTCACTACTCGCCTTTCTGGAGAATGTAAATTAAGCTTTTCCAAATGTTTAGTGTCGGAAAAGCTGCCAGAGGGGGTAAGAGTTCACCAGTAAACTCACCAGAGGGGGTAAGAGTTCACCAGTAAACTCACCAGAGGGGGTAAGAGTTCACCAGTAAACTCACCAGAGGGGGTAAGAGTTCACCAGTAAACTCACCAGAGGGGGTAAGAGTTCACCAGTAAACTCACCAGAGGGGATAAGAGTTCACCAGTAAACTCACCAGAGGGGGTAAGAGTTCACCAGTAAACTCACCAGAGGGGGTAAGAGTTCACCAGTAAACTCACCAGAGGGGGTAAGAGTTCACCAGTAAACTCACCAGAGGGGGTAAGAGTTCACCAGTAAACTCACCAGAGGGGGTAAGAGTTCACCAGTAAACTCACCAGAGGGGGTAAGAGTTCACCAGTAAACTCACCAGAGGGGGTAAGAGTTCACCAGTAAACTCACCAGAGGGGGTAAGAGTTCACCAGTAAACTCACCAGAGGGGGTAAGAGTTCACCAGTAAACTCACCAGAGGGGGTAAGAGTTCACCAGTAAACTCACCAGAGGGGGTAAGAGTTCACCAGTAAACTCACCAGAGGGGGTAAGAGTTCACCAGTAAACTCACCAGAGGGGGTAAAAGTTCACCAGTAAACTCACCAGAGGGGGTAAGAGTTCACCAGTAAACTCACCAGAGGGGGTAAGAGTTCACCAGTAAACTCACCAGAGGGTAAGAGTTCCCCAATAAACTCACCAGAGGGTAAGAGTTCACCAGTAAACTCACCAGAGGGGGTAAGAGTTCACCAGTAAACTCACCAGAGGGTAAGAGTTCCCCAGTAAACTCACCAGAGGGTAAGAGTTCACCAGTAAACTCACCAGAGGGTAAGAGTTCACCAGTAAACTCACCAGAGGGGGTAAGAGTTCACCAGTAAACTCACCAGAGGGGGTAAGAGTTCACCAGTAAACTGACCAGAGGGGGTAAGAGTTCACCAGTAAACTCACCAGAGGGTAAGAGTTCCCCAGTAAACTCACCAGAGGGTAAGAGTTCCCCAGTAAACTCACCAGAGGGTAAGAGTTCCCCAGTAAACTCACCAGAGGGTAAGAGTTCACCAGTAAACTCACCAGAGGGGGTAAGAGTTCACCAGTAAACTCACCAGAGGGGGTAAGAGTTCACCAGTAAACTCACCAGAGGGTAAGAGTTCCCCAGTAAACTCACCAGAGGGTAAGAGTTCACCAGTAAACTCACCAGAGGGGGTAAGAGTTCACCAGTAAACTCACCAGAGGGGGTAAGAGTTCACCAGTAAACTCACCAGAGGGGGTAAGAGTTCACCAGTAAACTCACCAGAGGGGGTAAGAGTTCACCAGTAAACTCACCAGAGGGGGTAAGAGTTCACCAGTAAACTCACCAGAGGGGGTAAGAGTTCACCAGTAAACTCACCAGAGGGGGTAAGAGTTCACCAGTAAACTCACCAGAGGGGGTAAAGTTCACCAGTTCACCCACCAGTAAACTCACCAGAGGGTAAGAGTTCACCAGTAAACTCACCAGAGGGGGTAAGAGTTCACCAGTAAACTCACCAGAGGGTAAGAGTTCCCCAGTAAACTCACCAGAGGGTAAGAGTTCACCAGTAAACTCACCAGAGATGGTAAGAGTTCTCCAGTAAACTCACCCGAGGGGGTAAGAGTTCACCAGTAAACTCACCAGAGGGGGTAAGAGTTCACCAGTAAACTCACCAGAGGGGGTAAGAGTTCACCAGTAAACTCACCAGAGGGGGTAAGAGTTCACCAGTAAACTCACCAGAGGGTAAGAGTTCCCCAGTAAACTCACCAGAGGGTAAGAGTTCCCCAGTAAACTCACCAGAGGGTAAGAGTTCACCAGTAAACTCACCAGAGGGGGTAAGAGTTCACCAGTAAACTCACCAGAGGGGGTAAGAGTTCACCAGTAAACTCACCAGAGGGTAAGAGTTCCCCAGTAAACTCACCAGAGGGTAAGAGTTCACCAGTAAACTCACCAGAGGGGGTAAGAGTTCACCAGTAAACTCACCAGAGGGGGTAAGAGTTCACCAGTAAACTCACCAGAGGGGGTAAGAGTTCACCAGTAAACTCACCAGAGGGGGTAAGAGTTCACCAGTAAACTCACCAGAGGGGGTAAGAGTTCACCAGTAAACTCACCAGAGGGGGTAAGAGTTCACCAGTAAACTCACCAGAGGGGGTAAGAGTTCACCAGTAAACTCACCAGAGGGTAAGAGTTCCCCAGTAAACTCACCAGAGGGTAAGAGTTCACCAGTAAACTCACCAGAGGGGGTAAGAGTTCACCAGTAAACTCACCAGAGGGTAAGAGTTCCCCAGTAAACTCACCAGAGGGTAAGAGTTCACCAGTAAACTCACCAGAGATGGTAAGAGTTCACCAGTAAACTCACCAGAGGGGGTAAGAGTTCACCAGTAAACTCACCAGAGGGGGTAAGAGTTCACCAGTAAACTCACCAGAGGGGGTAAGAGTTCACCAGTAAACTCACCAGAGGGGGTAAGATCTCCCCAGTAAACTCACCAGAGAGGCCCAGACGTGGGGGGTGAGGGTGAAGGAGGTGGTGTATAGGCCAGTCGTGTGAGTGACGGTGTTGGGGACGGACGCACCTCTCCCGCCTCTTCCTATCTCTCTTTTTTTTTTTTGACTCATCTCTACAGACGGAACAGGTTAGATAAAATTTTCAAATATTTCTTGAGTGAGAGGGACGAGGAATGACGCGTCTGGGAGCAGTTAGTAGCACTACAGATCACAGCGCATAATTATATCAAGATAGTTATAGTCTTTTAACTATAAAAAATACAGTCGTTGAATTAATCGACATCTACCTTATATGAGGATATTTAATAGCAATAAATATCTTTTTTTTTAAATAATAGTAATTTGATTAATATTATGATTGGATTCATTGCTAATAGTGTTCTGGGACACTAGAGGGATAGTCTAGCCCCTCAGGTAAAATACAGGTAAGTGACAAATAAAGAGCAGAATGCGATAGTAATAATGTAATAGTGAAATTAACGTTCAGAGAAGAGCATTTAGACAACTCTTTCTTCTAAGACAAACTCTCAACATTATTGATACAAGGAGACATTTATGTGTCAGATTTACTGTAACGTCTAATTTTTTTATAGTTATACTGGCTTGGTGTATGTTCCTTATACTTACTCTATATAGTTATACTGGCTTGGTGTATGTTCCTTATACTTACTCTATATAGTTATACTGGCTTGGTGTATGTTCCTTATACTTACTCTATATAGTTATACTGGCTTGGTGTATGTTCTTTATACTTACTCTATAGTTATACTGACTTGGTGTATGTTCCTTATACTTACTCTATAGTTATACTGGCTTGGTGTATGTTCCTTATACTTACTCTATAGTTATACTGGCTTGGTGTATGTTCCTTATACTTACTCTGTATAGTTATACTAGCTTGGTGTATGTTCCTTATACTTACTCTGTATAGTTATACTAGCTTGGTGTATGTTCCTTATACTTACTCTGTATAGTTATACTAGCTTGGTGTATGTTCCTTATACTTACTCTGTATAGTTATACTGGCTTGGTGTATGTTCCTTATACTTACTCTATAGTTATACTGACTTGGTGTATGTTCCTTATACTTACTCTATAGTTATACTGGCTTGGTGTATGTTCCTTATACTTACTCTATAGTTATACTGGCTTGGTGTATGTTCCTTATACTTACTCTATATAGTTATACTGGCTTGGTGTATGTTCCTTATACTTACTCTATATAGTTATACTGGCTTGGTGTATGTTCCTTATACTTACTCTATAGTTATACTGGCTTGGTGTATGCCCCTTATACTTACTCTACATTATTTAAATTGAATAATATAACGATCTAAATTCATTGTTATTTTTATGATAGAATTATTTACCTGAATTTACCTGTGGGTATCAATCTCTCTACTGGCTTCGACGAAGGCAGGAAGCTGGCGGCTTGTCAGAGGTCACCCACATTTTCCATTATGATTTTCAGCTGCCTTTCTTAACTGTTCCTGGAATATTGATATTAGTATTATTATAATTATCATTATTATTATCTTTGGTATCACTACGATGATATGATGTACATCTACTGATACTATACCTCTCTGTACAATGTAGATATACACCCACTGATATTTTGCCTCTGTAATGATTATTTGGCCTGTATTAGCCATAATAGGTGTGGGGGTATGGTGATTCCAGAGGTGCTGGGGGTGTGGTGATTCCAGAGGTGCTGGGGGTGTGGTGATTCCAGAGGTGTTGGGGGTGTGGTGATTCCAGAGGTGCTGGGGGTGTGGTGATTCCAGAGGTGTTGGGGGTGTGGTGATTCCAGAAGTGCTGGGGGTGTGGTGATTCCAGAGGTGCTGGGGGTGTGTGGTGATTCCAGAGGTGCTGGGGGTGTGTGGTGATTCCAGAGGTGCTGGGGGTGTGGTGATTCCAGAGGTGCTGGGGGTGTGTGGTGATTCCAGAGGTGCTGGGGGTGTGTGGTGATTCCAGAGGTGCCGGGCGTGTGGTGATTCCAGAGGTGCTGGGGGGTGTGGTGATTCCAGAGGTGCTGGGGGTGTGTGGTGATTCCAGAGGTGCTGGGGGTGTGGTGATTCCAGAGGTGCTGGGGGGTGTGTGGTGATTCCAGATGTGCTGGGGGTGTGGTGATTCCAGAGGTGCTGGGGGTGTGGTGATTCCAGAGGTGCTGGGGGTGTGGTGATTCCAGAGGTGCTGGGCGTGTGGTGATTCCAGAGGTGTTGGGGGTGTGGTGATTCCAGAGGTGCTGGGCGTGTGGTGATTCCAGAGGTGTTGGGGGTGTGGTGATTCCAGAGGTGCTGGGGGTGTGGTGATTCCAGAGGTGCTGGGCGTGTGGCGAGTCCAACGGTGCTGGGATTATCATGCATCAGCAGCACTACAACAACAGTCGTGCTGCTGATGCATGATAATAATATTCTTGACTGCGCCTCAACAAACTCTTCTTTCAGTTCATTCCCTTAATTGACAAATCCCTCGCTGAAAGAATTTGTCTTCTTACATCACACATATATAGTTCTGTGTTTTGTTTACCTGGTGTATTATATTTCTTTCTTAATCTGGAACATGTTTGATCTGGTTTTTTCTTCAATGTTGGTGTTTGCGGTGTTTGAGTTCCTGCTGGTAGGGTAGTGACTGAATGTCATCATTCTAGTGGGTATAGAATATGATGACTGAATGCCACCATATTCGTATATTTAAAGCTATGAATGGAGGCTATAAACAGAAAACTTGTTTTGTGGAATGTGCGGGAGAAGGGGGGATGGGGGGGGGGGGACCAGGCTCCGTGTTCCGTTATGTCATCACACAGGGCTGGGGAGCAGACTGCTCCTTTATCTTAATGGTATGTGTGGCAGGGATCTGCTTGGTGTGTACTCACCTGGTTGTGCTGGTAGGGGTTGAGTTTTGGCTCTTTGGTCCCGCCTTTTAACTGTCAATCAACTGGTGTATGGGTCCCTGAGGCCTACTGGGCTCTGTCAAATCTACATTTGAAACTGTGTATGGAGTCAGCCTCCACCACATCACTGCCTAATGCATTCCATTTGTTAACTACTCTGACACTGAAAACATTCTTTCTGATGTCTCTTGTGGCTCCTTTGGGTATTACGTTTCCACCTGTGATCCCTTGTTGACCAAACCACATACTAGAAGGTGAAGGGACGAAGACGTTTCGGTCCGTCGTCCCTTCACCTTCTAGTATGTGGTCTGGTCAACATTCTTCAGCCACGTTATTGTGACTCATCGCCTGCATCCCTTGTTCGTGTTCTACCTGTGTTAAATAGTTTGTCTTTGTCTACCCTGTGAATTCCGATGAGAATTTTGTAGGTGGTTATCATGTCTTCCCTTACTCTTCTGTCTTCCAGGAACGTGAGGTCCCTGGAAGACAGGGACCTCACTTTCTGTACCCTTGAAAGACTATCAATAGCAGTTAGTTCTATGGCAGCTCATGAAGCTCTTACGAACCGTCAACCGGGTGATGTAGGGAATAGCCGCTAATAGACTGATACCCTGCCTAATGCCTGATACCCTGCCTCATGCCTGATACCCTGCCTCATACCTGACACCCTGCCTCATACCTGACATCATTCGTCGGTTATCTTTACTGGGATGGGAAAAGGAAGTAATCTGATGTCGCTTGAGTGAGCAGGGAACCGGGGAAGAGGGACACGCTGATAGGGACGTACCGGGGTATCTTCGGGTACGGGGAGTACCGGTTTAGTCTCCACTTTAAAGTAGTAAGGAGGTGACCTTGACAGACAACCCCCTCCCCCCCCCCTCCCTCTACCTTTCCTCACCCCTACAACTCCTAACCCCCCCCCCCATCCTGAACCCAACACCCCCCCCCACCTAGCCTCCTGTCCCCTCCAACATAAACATACATATATAGCTATGAGGATTCAAGGAAGTTATGAGAAGAAAACGTAACCATTGAATGTGTTAAGGCCATTGGAGCTGGCGCCGGGTGTTGTGTATACGAAACAACTTCCTTCGTGTTGAGCGCAATGAAAGAATTTCACGAATTCCAATGTAAGCTTTCCGTGGAGTCTCGGATCTCTCCAGATTGATATCTTAAGAGTTTAACAGAGACAGACAGACATAGACAGAGAATGTTATTGTTTTAAACAAATATTTAATTAGGTGAACAGCTTATTGGGGCGAAAGCAATCACTCTGCCAATTCCGTTGATATGTGGGACAAGTGTCCAGCCCAGCGGGACTCCACCACACGTGTAAGACAGGTAAGGACCAGCTGCTGCTCCACACCAACCATCATAGACCAATCAATCGAGGCTTAGCTGCTATTAAGTCTGACTCACAGCATTGTTCCAAATACTAGGCTTCTCCTGGTGTGTGTGTGAGTGTGTGTAATTACCTAAGTGTAGTTACAGGATGAGAGCTACGCTCGTGGTGTCCCGTCTTCCCAGCACTCTTTGTCATATAACGCTTTGAAACTACTGACGGTCTTGGCCTCCACCACCTTCTCACCTAACTTGTTCCAACCGTCTACCACTCTATTTGCGAAAGTGAATTTTCTTATATTTCTTCGACATCTTTGTTTAGTTAGTTTAAATCTATGTGTGTGTGTGTGTGTGTGTGTGTGTGTGTGTGTGTGTGTGTGTGTGTGTGTGTGTGTGTGTGTGTGTGTGTGTGTGTGTGTGTGTGTGTGTGTGTGTGTATGTAATCATCAAGTACTCACGTTTCTTCAATTTATTTGTGTTTCCTGTTTCCATATGTGATATATTTCTCTTAATTTGAAGAGTCTGTCTTTGTGAACCTTACCTAGTCTCCTCAGTATCTTGTATGTTGCGATCTTATCTACTCTGTTTCTTCTATCCTCCAGGGTTGGGAGGGGCAGTGGGATAGCTCGTGGCTGCTGGGTGAGGCTGGCTCTGGTGTGTGTGTTTCCGTGGGTGGGGGGGAGGGGGGACAGGTAGGGGGCCCGTGGGTGGTGTGGGTCAGGGTAAGTTCAAGGTGAGAGTGTTCCCTGAAGGGTTCCAGGATTTTCTGTGCCGTTATCACCTGCTTGTTCCTGCACACTCACATCTCCAGCTCTCTCTCTCTCTCTCTCTCTCTCTCTCTCTCTCTCTCTCTCTCTCTCTCTCTCTCTCTCTCTCTCTCTGTCTCTGCTCTGCTCTCTCTCTCTCTCTCTCGTGTCTCTGTCTCTCTCTCTCTCTCTCTCTCTCTCTCTCTCTCTCTCTTCTCTCTCTCTCTCTCTCTCTCTCTCTCTATCTCTCTCTCTCTCTCTCTCTCTCTCTCTCTCTCTCTCTCTCTCTCTCTCTCTCTCTCTCTCTCTCTCTCTCTCTCTCTCTCTCTCTCTCTCTCTCTCTCTCTCTCTCTCTCTCTCTCTCTCTCTCTCTCTCTCTCTCTCTCTCTCTCTCTCTCTCTCTCTCTCTCTCTCTCTCTTCAAAATTAGGCGTTTTGTGTTTTTTATCTTTATTCCTGTTTTATAATATGAATAATATTAATATAGATTAGTAGAAAACTGAGTATTTCTCCCCTAAATAGATATGTTAAACATATGGTTTTATATCTCTATCATTATATGTTGGTCCTGGTATAAGGCCTATGGAAGGTTATGAAGGTCGTGACACTGGCCCGTTGATTAACCCTCAAGTTTTCTTTAGTTGTGAATTTAATAGTGGACTAAAGGAAACCCTCAGTGTATATACTCCATATACACCACAGTCTCCGTGGTGTAGTGGTAAAACACTCGCCTGGCGTTTCGCGAGCGCCTTGTCCTGCGTTCGTGTCCTGGCCGGGGAGGATTTACTGGGCGCAAATTTTTAACTGTAGCCTCTGTTTAACTCAACAGTAAAATAGATACCTGAGGCCAGATTTACGAAAGCACTTACGAACCTGTACATCTTTTCTTAATCTTTGGCGGCTTTGTTTACAATTATTAAACAGTTAATGAGCTCCGAAGCACCAGGAGGCTGTTTATAACAATAACAACAGTTGAATGGGAAGTTTTCATGCTTGTAAACTGTTTAATAAATGTAACCAAAGCCGTCAAAGATTGAGGAAAGATGTACACGTTCGTAAATGCTTGCGTAAGTGCTTTCGTGAATCTGGCCCCTGGTTGTTAAACGATTTTTCGCGGGGTCGTATTCCAGGGAACATAGGATTAAGGACTTCTCCGAAACGCTACTCCTACTAGTGGCTGTACAAGAGTGTAAGAACCCTTGTATCTATAAATGAAATAAATAATATTATCAAGTGTTCCAGTAGAAAGCAATGTATAGTGTGGTGTGCGGTAAGTCATATATGTCACTGTTGCACTGATTCGTGCGTTAGCGCCTACCAAATATGCAATGTTCAAAATGGCTGAAGTGCATCAGAGACATTCACAGTTACAGCCCCGCTCCTGTGCCAGGTAAGTACACTACGGGCTCACCATAGCCCGTGCTACTTAGATTTTTTTGTTCCCAGTAGCTGAATCTAAAACAGGGACATTTGTCTGGGTTTTAATTCATAAAATTACTGGTTACTAATATTCATACGAAACAATCTGGATAGTACAGAAAATAAAGACACAACAACGTTTCTATCTATCTTGGGATGGTTCCGGGGATCAGTCTTCCCGTGGCCCGGTCTCTGAACAGCCTTCTGATTGGTGGTCTGGTCAACCAGGCTGTAGACGCCGTGGGTTGGGTAGTTACTGATTTATTTAATCTGAAAGATTATTAATTCAGGTCTAAGATTGTCAAAAGCAGGTGAGACTATTTATATATTTGCTCTAAAATACTTTAACAGTAATTGTCTCTAAAGATGTGAATTGGGAAACCTTTGGAAAAGTGTCATATACGAAGTCCAATTTATTTGATAAGGATTTAGGCCTGTAATAGGCTCTTCATCTGGCGGTTGTGGCAACGTTGCCTGGCGTGATGACAACACCTTCGCTGGAGGCGGGAACTCATAGCTGAATCATCATTCATTACCAAGGATCCATTCATTCCTCAAAATGCATCGCTCATCCTCTCACAAGACATCACTTGTTCTGTTAAATGATATCGTAGTATTTTCAAAATTCTTTATTCATCCTTTCAAAAACAGCACTTGTACTTTCAAAGGGCATCGTTCAAGCCTCTCAAAACTCGTCATGCATTCTCTTAGAAAACTTCACTCATACTATACAAAATCATCATTCATCGTCTCATATAGCGTCACTCATCGTTCCGAAAGCTTGTCTTAATAATTTATCTAACACGTACGACTCTTATATTTTATAGAAACATACAAAGAATTCTCGCAGAATTTATGTGATGTATACAACAATGAGCCAGAGTTAAGGGAATTATATTGAATACAGAAGATAATATCTATTAATATGTAAAGTGTTGCAAACTAACAGTTTTGTATGACGGGGCCTACAAAATATGTAGAGAAAGAAATATATATGTATATATATATATATATATATATATATATATATATATATATATATATATATATATATATATATATATATATATATATATATATATATATATATATATATATATATATATATATATTAATTTTAAGTAAATAATATTTGTACTCTGCTTTCATCTTGATAGAGAAGGATGCGAACGTGGGTGGTGTTGGTGATGACAGCCGCTGTACTGAGGGAGGCCGAGGGGAGAGAGAGAGATAAGAGATACCTGTTCATCAACCCCTCAGCCCCCGTCACCCTCGGTGAGTGAAGCCACACTTGGCCGTTTCACTGAATATGACTACATATTCTCTATTGATTATTTTCTGGTTTAGGGCTTCTATCTCTCTAACTAGTGCTCTTGCATCTGGGTTTAATTAGAAGAGGAGTTGGCCAAAAGTCATCTTCGTTCGAGGTGAAGAAAAGAAACATTCCCATATGCATAACCAATCATCAGCCAGATACCCCACCCACATACAGACTGGCTAAGCGACTCAACTGCCTGCTGACTCCTTATGTGCTTTGTGCTTTAAGCCTGAAGTTTCCAAAGGAATTCGTTTACTTATTGTGAGGAGCAGGGGCCACAGGGATGAGAGCCACTCTGGATGTGGAGTCTCTGTTTACCAACATGTCCGTGGACGAAACAATCAGGATGATGATGGACAGAGTGTATCGTGATCCGGCTTGTACTCCTCTAGACATATCAGAGAAAATACGGAGGAAGTTACTCCAAGCCTGCACTAAAGAGGCACACTTCTTAAGTCCCGATGGGCACATGTATAAACAAGTAGATGGGGTCGCCATGGGTTCTCCCCTAGGTGTCCTGTTTGCGAACTTCTACATAGAGCAGAGAGTCTTAGTTGACATGGACTTGAAACCCGCCATATTCTGCAGGTACGTTGACGGCATATTTATGCAGGAACCTGATGACAGACGTTTGCGGCAGTTAAAGGAGGCATTCGAGCAAAATTCGGAGTCAAGTTTCACTTACGAGATAGAGAGTGATGGGAAGCTGCCCTTTCTAGATGTAACAGTCGCGGAAAGGAATGGTGTCTTCCACACTGCAGTCTACACTAGAGAAACGAACATAAGAATGTGCCTTAATGCCAATAGTGACTGCCCAGACAGGTACAAGAGGATTGTTGTCAATACTTACGTCGGCGGAGCTCTCACTCACAGCTCTGGTTGGAAGCAGGTTCACGAAGAACTCTGTAGGGTAAGGCAGGTCCTAGTCAACAAGTCAACAATAGCTTCTCTAACGGTTGTGTTGAAGACGTCATATCCAGAGAGGTAAAAGCCGGATCACGATACACTCTGTCCATCATCATCCTGATTGTTTCATCCACGGGCACGTTGGTGAACAGCGACTCCACATCCAGAGAGGCTCTCATCCCCGTGGCCTGATTGAAACTGTGATCGAAAAGAAATCTGGACTCAACCAGTCAATTCCCACCGGGGAATACAAACCCGGGTTATGCATATGGGAATATATGCATATTTATGCATATGGGAATATACCCACAAACCCGGAAACCCACTTCGGTCAATCATCAGCCAGATACCCACACCCACATGCAGACTGGCCAAGCGACTCAACTGCCTGGAGACACCTTATGTGCCTTGTGCTTTCAGACTGAAGTCTCCAAAGGAATTTGTTGACTTGGGAGCACGGGCCACGGGGATGAGAGCCACTCTGGATGTGGAACAAACGCCCACACGAATAAGTCATGCAGTCGTTTACGTTGTCCACTATAAGAACGACGTTTCTTCATTTTCTGATGTGTATTTTGGTCATCAACCTCTGTTCAGTTGTATATCAATTATAACATCTCTGCTTATCATCACAACAAATTTATATTCACATACTTTGATATTAAAAATGATATTGAAACACAATTGATGTTGCTTTCTGTTCCCCAGGTTTCCTCGTCAACATGCCAATCTCTCTGGCACTGCCTACTCTCGCCCCAGTAAATTCAGGGAGGTCGTTCAACCCCAACGGCCTGTATGAAGGAGAAGAACTGCCGGAGGACCTAATGTGGGAGCCGGCGTACGAGCAGTCTCTGAGCCGGCTCTTCGCCTACTTCTCCCATCTTGACGTAAATATTTTGTAACAATGAGTATTTATTCTTCTTAAAGTAATTATTGCAGCAAAGAATATTTGCCCATATTGTAGTTTATATTGTAACAATGAATATTTGGTCATCTTGTGGTTAATACTGTAACAATTAATATTTGCCCATTTTGTAATCAAAGTTATAACAATTAATATTTGTCCATCTAGAGTTAATGTTTGTTACAATGAGTATTTGCCAATCATGAGTTAATAAACGTAACTAAAATATTTGTTCAATTACAAATGACAGTAACACTAGTAGTACTCGAGTGTCACATTGTCACATGCACAGTGTCACATTTTCCTGTGTCATGTGACACTGTAACATTTTCGTCAAATTACAACCTTTTCACACACAAAAAAGGGAGAAATTGAAACAAGTTTATTGAGGTATAAATACACACAAAGGGGTGAGGTAGCTCAACTTATTCTCACCCCGTTCAGTACAACGTGTTCATATATACTTAGACACACATCACAAACAATAGTTTGTGATGTGTGTCTATGTATATATGAATACCGTATATATATAAGTATATATTACCGACCATTCTGAGTGATAAACATATACATTTCTTCCTTTACACAGAGTTCCCTGTAGTCATTATGGAGGCTGAGCTCTTACGGTAACCCATATGGTTAATAGCCTGACTTAAAGATGTTCAACCTGACTGTAAAAGCTTTGCTTTAATTATTCTCAACGCCGCACAAGTTGTGTTGTAGATACACAACAATATCCCACTAAGACACAAGTCATATGAGCAACGATATCCTACTAAGACACAAGTCATATGAGCAACGATATCCTACTAAGACACAAGTCATATGAGCAACAATATTCTACTGAGACACAAGTCATATGAGCAACAATATCCTACTAAGACACAAGTCATATGAGCAACAATATCACACTGAGACACAAGTCATATGAGCAACAATATCCTACTAAGACACAAGTCATATGAGCAACAATATCACACTGAGACACAAGTCATATGAGCAACAATATCCCACTGAGACACAAGTCATATGAGCAACAATATCACACTGAGACACAAGTCATATGAGCAACAATATCCCACTAAGATGTTCTGAACAAGGTGAGAGTTTGTTGATTATTATTAACTGTTGGCAGCTATCAACAATGTCGTGCCAGGAGCAACTCATCTGTGAACTGAATGCTGAGCCTGAGAGCTTCTCCCCCATCAGTCAAATCTTCCTGAAGGAGCTGAGGTAAGATCTTTTGAAAGAATTGAAGTAAAATCTTCCTGACGGCGCTGAGGATAGATTTTCCCGATGGAAGTTTCTTTATCTTGCCTTTTATCATAACCTAATAGCTTTTATGCCTTTTCACAGTGTATTGATACGACTATGTCTATAAAAATGATTGTCTGTCTAGAGCTGGAGGCCAAACCCTTGGGGCTAGCCTCACCCTATATTTAACAGTAACTGCTGTTGGGTCCATGACCAACATGATCAGGTCAGGATTGGCATAAATGAAATGAGTGCCACTTGATATATGGTGCTATGGCTTAGAACACGACCCGCTTATTGCTTTACAACCAGGTCCCCTTTTACTGCTGGATAAACAGGGGTTAACTATTAGAGTACAGTGCCTAGTTGTCTCACACATTTTGCAACCCATCCTCTTGTTTAGATAGTACCTATTGTGACGGTCGTCAATAGTTACAATTCGTACGTTCTTAGCTTTTAGATAGTAGTATACTGACTAATAAAGAATTATGTTAAAATAAATGAAGCTAAAATACTAACTTAAATACTCCTAGGCCTGGTATAGCACACATATGTACTATACTAGGCCTCAGAGATCGTGTATTTAGACCTAGGAAAGTTAGGTTAGGTTAGTTTGTCAAAGCAACACAAGTAAAGACTAGTTTTCCGGTTTGTTCAACTCAATAGTTCACATTTCTACTTTCTAATTTCGTTGTAGGTGGGTATATATACTGTGGTCCTCATCGTTACTATCAGTACTGCCAGAACAGGAGGATGGGCTCTATTTCACGGATCGATCTCGGGTCGTTTTGATGCGAGGAGCCTGGACGAGCGTTTTAACCACTACAGACGATAATACAATATGTTTAAGTTTTTAAAAATGCTGATGTAAGAAAGCAATTTAACTATTTAAACGATAGCAGTGTACACTAAAACAATAAAAGCTTTGTTGACCAGACCACACACTAGAAAATGAAGGGACGACGACGTTTCGGTCCGTCCTGGAGCATTCTCAAGTCGATTGTCATTCTCAAGACAATCGACTTGAGAATGGTCCAGGACGGAGCGAAACGTCGTCGTCCCTTCATTTTCTAGTGTGTGGTCTGGTCAACATATTTCAGCCACGTTATTGCGACTCATCATCTGCAATAAAAGCTTTGTTTCCTCGCAGGCTTCTAAACGGACCAGTGGAAACGACAAGGGAATCACTGATGTGGCGGTACGTCTCGGCCGCGCGCGAAGGGTTCGCATCCCCCATAGAGAGGTGCTCCGCCGCCTACCCCAGCTGCCCTATGGAGGCCGACCGTATCCTCAACATGCCCGTTCTGAGGGTGTGGCAGTACATAGCCTCAAAACTAAATATGCAACTTATTTAAAGTAAATAAACTGTGCAGTCAGAGCTAAGTTAGCTGTTAAGTCCACGACGGGTTCATCATAGCCCGTGCTACTTCGAACTTTTGTTCCGAGTAGCTGAAACTAATACAACAATGTTTAGCTATAGCAGCATACAACCTGTTCCACGAATACTACAATTTGATTAGTGTATGCTGTATAATCTCAACCCATTCTCCATACACAAGAATGCTTATACCAACAATTGGTTGAACTTACAAAAAATTGACTGTTGCATCGAAAATTATTTCACTTTTTGTATCAATGAAATACTCCAAAATGACATGCCAAATTCAAATTCAAATGAACTCCCAATTCAACCTAACCTAGCCAGTCCTAGGCCTCAACAAGCAATCCTAGGCCTAATATTCGCCATCCTAAGCTTAACGTAGTACACCTATGTACTATACAGGTCCTAGGAACGTTTAAGTTTGGTTGTTGCCTTCTTTTTCTCGCCCTTTTCAAAACAATTAGTGGAAACGTTAACCTTTTCTTTCAGTGCCCGTTCATTTTGAGTCGTTCGACCAACACCAGATGCAAGTGTTATCATATTAGATAACAGGTGCAGACGGTGAGACACAATGACGTGGCTGGTGTTGACCATCAGACCACACACCACAAGATGAAGAGACCACGAAGTTTCGGTCCGTCCGGAAATGGACCATTTCAGAACGGTCTAATGTTTCGAACCATTATCAAGTCGATTGTGATAATGGTCCAGGACGGACCGAAACGTCGTGGTCTGTTCATCCTCTGGTGTGTAGTTTGGTCATCATAGGATACGTTCTGGGGGCATCCATCAGTCTCAGGAGACTATGGAGTTGCTCTCTGGTAGTCTGCGTCTTATATATATATATATATATATATATATATATATATATATATATATATATATATATATATATATATATATATATATATATATATATATATATATATATATATATATATATATATATATATATATATATAAGCCTATACTTGCATAAACCACAAGTGAAGATTAACAATCTTTGGACAACACCCACCAGTGGGACTCGAACCCAGAAAGCACAACTACCTTCCAGTAGCTGGCATAACTAGTATGCTTTAACCCACTACGCCATCAGACCTTACAAAAGAAGTAGATAGTTCGAGATATATATCTCAAACATCTCCACCTCCCGAAGGCACCAGATGAGTGAGGGGTCAGTCTGCATTTTTCGTCAAGCCACTGTCAATGTGAGAGAACTCGTGTCCAGCTTATAAGCCTATACTTGCATAAACCACAAGTGAAGATTAACAATCTTTGGACAACACCCACCAGTGGGACTCGAACCCAGAAAGCACAACTACCTTCCAGTAGTCCCTTCATTTTCTAGTGTGTGGTCTGGTCAACATATTTCAGCCACGTTATTGCGACTCATCATCTGCAATAAAAGCTTTGTTTCCTCGCAGGCTTCTAAACGGACCAGTGGAAACGACAAGGGAATCACTGATGTGGCGGTACGTCTCGGCCGCGCGCGAAGGGTTCGCATCCCCCATAGAGAGGTGCTCCGCCGCCTACCCCAGCTGCCCTATGGAGGCCGACCGTATCCTCAACATGCCCGTTCTGAGGGTGTGGCAGTACATAGCCTCAAAACTAAATATGCAACTTATTTAAAGTAAATAAACTGTGCAGTCAGAGCTAAGTTAGCTGTTAAGTCCACGACGGGTTCATCATAGCCCGTGCTACTTCGAACTTTTGTTCCGAGTAGCTGAAACTAATACAACAATGTTTAGCTATAGCAGCATACGACCTGTTCCACGAATACTACAATTTGATTAGTGTATGCTGTATAATCTCAACCCATTCTCCATACACAAGAATGCTTATACCAACAATTGGTTGAACTTACAAAAAATTGACTGTTGCATCGAAAATTATTTCACTTTTTGTATCAATGAAATACTCCAAAATGACATGCCAAATTCAAATTCAAATGAACTCCCAATTCAACCTAACCTAGCCAGTCCTAGGCCTCAACAAGCAATCCTAGGCCTAATATTCGCCATCCTAAGCTTAACGTAGTACACCTATGTACTATACAGGTCCTAGGAACGTTTAAGTTTGGTTGTTGCCTTCTTTTTCTCGCCCTTTTCAAAACAATTAGTGGAAACGTTAACCTTTTCTTTCAGTGCCCGTTCATTTTGAGTCGTTCGACCAACACCAGATGCAAGTGTTATCATATTAGATAACAGGTGCAGACGATGAGACACAATGACGTGGCTGGTGTTGACCATCAGACTACACACCACAAGATGAAGAGACCACGAAGTTTCGGTCCGTCCGGAAATGGACCATTTCAGAACGGTCTAATGTTTCGAACCATTATCAAGTCGATTGTGATAATGGTCCAGGACGGACCGAAACGTCGTGGTCTGTTCATCCTCTGGTGTGTAGTTTGGTCATCATAGGATACGTTCTGGGGGCATCCATCAGTCTCAGGAGACTATGGAGTTGCTCTCTGGTAGTCTGCGTCTTATATATATTATATATATATATATATATATATATATATATATATATATATATATATATATATATATATATATATATATATATATATATATATATATATATATATATATATATATATATATATACATATATATATATATATATATATATATATATATATATATATATATATATATATATATATTGTGTTGCGAGAATAATTAAGCTTGTCTTGACAGACTGTCATGTGACAGTAGACATTTGTGGCTAGTCAACAATGCCAGCAAGAGCATGCGAATTTACATAGCTAATGCCTCAACCCGTCCTGCTAATAGCACGGTCCCATTTTGATTTACGTAAGGCCAAAAAAAAATTGTTGTAATAGAAAATAGTAGAGGCTCGTGGACTGTCCCGTTTTCTGTTAGTGGGTTCTCTGGTAGATTAGGATAAGGCACTTTAGTACGACAGTTTCTGGACGTTGGGAATGCTGGCGAGAACGGGCTGAATCCTTACTATGTATTAACGTCAGCTGGAATGTTAAAGATGATTGTAACCATATATCAGGTATTAAGCGATACGAGAGGGTGGTGTGTGTGTGTGTGTGTTTGTATATGTGTATTTATAAGTATTTATATGTATTTTTCTGTGTATTAAAGTGAGAAGAATTGTTTTACTCACTTCTGTATATAATCATACAAATACAACATTACTTTCTTATTGTGTAGAAAGTGAATTTAGCTGACAGATGATTGGCTGGATATTGTTTTCCTGAGGCTGAGTTAAGCTTTTACTGACAGGGAAAACTAACTACTGTCTGATTGGCATGTTCTAGATTATGTAACATGTTCTAGATTGTTATCTGTTTGAGATGTTCTTGACTGTGATCAGCTCGTCCCCTTCACCTCATCCTCGGATATATATCATGCAGAAAGAAATATTGTAATTTACGGGCTATTCATGCCCGTGCCACCTCTTGGGTGGCTTAATCTTCATCAATCAATATTGTAATCATTCGAACTCCGCATTTGACTCATGTTAACAAGAGTCAAGGAAACGCATCTCTTAGCGTCAGGCCAAATAAAACTGTAAAAAAGAACTTTGGAGAGTTAATTGTTCAACTTCTTTCACAAGTGAAGACGGACGTATATATATATATATATATATATATATATATATATATATATATATATATATATATATATATATGTATATATATATATATATATATATATATATATATATAATGTGTATATTCTGAATAGTATCATACAAGAAGAGCGATATAGCTACGGACAATCCAGTAACATCAGCAGCCGTCTAGATATGACTACTGGTCGGCCATAGACCCGGTTACAAATACCTCTGGGAGTGTGCATTACCTGCTGATGTAGACCTGAGCAACTGTAAACTGTGTCGGCACAGTTAATCGCACACCCTGCAGCACTGTGTGATGAAATGTGGGACAACAAATTAAAGAATTTATAAATATCTCTAAATCACCAATGCCCCAGGAATGTGTACTTCATTATATATAATAAAAAGCTTAGCCAAGAACTCCACGTTTGCCTATTACAGGTAGGCAAACACGGGTCATACACGGGATTGTCAAGTTTCCGCCGCCGACCACAGGCAGGCATATTAGGCGGATGACAGGCATATTAGACGCAGTGTAGGCATATTAGAATTATATGTAACGACCCCCTCGTCACGGCCCTTGTGGACTTGTTTATATGTAACGAGCTCATCCCAAATGTACTGTAAACAGTTTAGCGTAGAGATCACTTGGGCCGGGCACCTGAACTCTCTATGTGGCACTGAAACCTTTCTCCCACTCTCCCAAAGAATGGGGAGTAATGGCGTCCGAAATAAACTAACTAAAAGGGGTCATTCGTTTGGGTTCACGATGGTGTTAGATAAACTGTAAATACACTGCTGACTGCTTATATAAACAAGTTCTGCAATTAGATCATCAACGCTGTAACTTGCTTAATTAAACTAACATAAAAAAGTTCAGTTCTTGGTTATGTGGACTCTGTAATGTTTCTCACTACTGCCCACAGCGGAGGTTATGTGGGTGCCTATTAAATTTATTAAAGTAAAGTAAATGTTGTTTACTTAAATAAATCTGAACGTGATACCATATACATTTTATTCTGAGAGGTGTACCTTATTAATGTCTCATTTTAAAACTTTTTAAGTAGTTTTAAAACTACTAGTTTTAATGCATTTCATAAATGGAATTAAAATGTTTACTAGAGAATCTTTTTTTTTCAGAAGTTCTAATTGCTACTTAGTAAAGAGGCCTCTTCCGTAGGCTTTATTGTAAGCCAGTAATCCAAGTAAAGACTTCTGTGGCATCTTCGTTTATGTTTTGTTACGCGCAAGTCTTTATCTCTGTGCAAGGGTCTTTACTAAACGTTCAAGAGGCGGGGGCAGGAGTCAGCAAGTGTTTATACAACCACTTACGAAACATGTGCATCTTTCTTTAATCATGGCAACTTTAGTTGCAATATTTAATCAGTCTATGAGCTCCGAAGCACAACTAGGTTGTTTATAACAACCTTTGAGTGCTTTATGGATTGTGAAGTTTTGAAACTCGTAAACTGTTTAATAAATGTAAACAAAACCGCCATGATTGTGGAAAGATGTACAGGTTCCGTAAGTTATTGCGTAAATACTTGATGAATGGTGGTCTCGGGCTGCCATGTTGGCATAAAAGGCCCGCTAGAATTGCCCTGATGACCTGATACGCGTGACAGAGCTGTGGAGACCTTGTGCAGATATTGATAACAAACTAACGACATTAACTATCTCCATAATCCGCCTTTCTAAACCATGCCCAACCTTCATACGAAAACAACATTAATAAATCCACAGTCAATAAAACTCTACAACTATAGCCTCACCTGAAAGATTTTGTTAATTACTCTGATTGATGAAGAAGATTAAGCCACCCAAGAGGTGGCACGGGCATGAATAGCCCGTAAAATTACTCTGAGCAGAGCTAAATGGTTGTACGTCTGTCCTCCGCGGCGCCGCACCCAAGAGTGACGCCTCACCGCCGGCCGGACCGTCGACGTGTTGCGACACTGGCCGAGGCGGCGCGGTCTCTACCCGCCGCTCATACACAGACGCCCCGTGCTGGTCCACTAGTATTTACCTAAAAGTGTTTGCAGGTTTAAGCTTCAGCTCTTGAGCCACGAGTCACAGCCTTAGAGGTGAAGAGTATCTGTCTTCATTGATCCTGTATTTAGGTATTTATAGGCTAGTAAGGTTAGCATAGTTTAGCTTATGTCAGGATAGCT